CAGAATCGAGAAAAGAAACTAATTGGTTCGTTTATTTTATCTCAATTCTGATTGGCTTACGACGAGTCTTATTCATTACATGTCTACTTTTTGACCGCACTCCCAGTTATATGTTTTTTTTATTAATAATTTAATGCGCACTTCAGTTCTATTATTTAAAACCATTTTTAGGCGAAGACACAAACTGCTACATGAAGACACTCAAAGCAACTAAAAGACTATATTCTCTCCCAAAAAGCCTCCCAAAATTCAAGCCGCCGGAACAAAAAATTGATTTGAACTTTTTCTCAACGAAACATTGCGCTTTTACTGTGATCAATTGCGTGATTAAATCTGGATTAGCAACTTCAAGTGAAGAAGAGTTCATTGTACGTTATTGGAACAACAATCACTGACTATTTTCTACCATCAACCCCGATGGATTAAATCATCAAGAAAACTTCAAAATCTCCGCTTTCAGTATCATCAATAAGACGTCAGACGAATCAACAACACGCATCAGATAATGCAAAATGCGCTCGATGAAAGTGCAATTTCAGTAGTATGCGATAGTCTTTTGCAGGAAAAAGTCTACTTCCTGATTATGAGATACCTCTATAAAAGGGATACCTGGGATGCCTAACAAGTGGGGCGCATCAGTGAAAATAGGTTTTAATTTTAAAAAAAACTTAGAAGATTCGGCAACTTTAGCCTGCTTAACACGCTTCATCCTGTCTCATTATATCTCAAATACCAGCAGCAATGAAAGTGCTTCTTATCTCAAATGATTTGAATCCAAAAACAGATACTGAAATGCAGAGAAGATTCGCGAAGGGAGATGCGCGACTCCACTAGTGTAATGAAGCAAACAGACAAACATATTTAATCAGAAAATTAAAGCCAAACAGCAATATGTTCCGAACCTAAGGGTATAAAAAAGACTCAAATTTCCTGTTGCTTTTTTGGTAAAGGGCAATTGATAGATCAAAATACAAGAATGAGTTCAGTCTTCTACACAGAGGCGATGTGGAGCTTTGCATCACTCGCATTACAATTCAAGCGCAGCTATGCAATCTAGCAAATAGATAGTGAGACGGAAATCACAAAATCGAAAAAAAAAGGAAAAAAAAATCCGAAAAACAGTCAAAACATAACCATCAGTATCAAATAAGCTTTTAGTTTTTACCAAGCAGCCACTAAGTAGACAAAATGACAAAAAGTGGATAGACGCTCAATGAGCCGGGGAAAAATGATATATTAAATTGTAGTCATAAAATTTTGACCATAAGTTTTAAAACTTTGATATCTTGCAGCACAAACTACCTGAATTTTCAAAAAAAAAAAAAAATCATTCGTCCTTTGCCTTTGAAGCGACACAAAATAAAGTAACTGAGCCGATAGAACATAAGCCGAACACATTTAGGCCAAAAACGCTTCTAAGAGAAAAAAAGGAAAACCAAAAAATATATATACAACGTCAGAGCTATTAATTTTACAAATCACAGTAAATCATAAAAATTTGCATCTACTATGACAATTGCTGACAGCTCTAGAAAACTCCCCGATGTTACAACTAAGCCGGCATAAACAAGACATTTTCAATTTCATTCAAGCTGAAAAAAGGTCCGGTCGGGACTCAAATTCCAGACCTAGGGCACTAAGGCAACCACGTTACCTCTAAGCCAAATGGAAACAAGCATGGAAGTTGTTAAGGTTCAATAATAAAGCAATTAAGAAAAGCAAGTGAGATTTCTAAGAAAAGTTGTTTACGGGTAAAAGTCTAGTTCCCGATCACAAGACACTTGCTCTCGCAAGTGTAAACAAGTTATCATTCAGCCTGAGAAAAGGGAAATTCAAACCGGTGTTTTTGACTTTTTGAAACCCTATGGGCAACTATTAAAGCATTATTATACCACAATTTCTTTAGGTACCTATAATCCGGCGATATAATCTTAGGTCAGAAAATCCACTCTAAAAGTCAACCATTTTCCTACCAACATAACCTGCCTTTTCAAAAAATATGGTTGCAAATACATAGCTGGTCGCAAGGGTAAAAAATCAGTTTCTTTCAAGCTGTCAAGCAGATTTTGCCAAAAAAAGCCAATTAAGATGCATAAAAAGTATCCGTCAATTAAAAAAAATTACCAAACAACTTGCCTCAATTTATAGAGCGGACGCATTTTAACTAGTATACGAAAAAGTTCATTAAAAACATTCGACCCTGTCCAGCTTCGAACCCTCTTATTTTGGTAATCTTCTCCTTCCCTACCTCTACGCTACAGATACATGATACCTTGAAGCTTAAGTGCTATTTGTAATATAATAATAGTCTGTGTGAATATCCTTAGCATTGACTGTTCTTAATAGTTGGATCAAAATGAACACATTTTGTCGCAAAAATTGCATCGCAAGATTATTTGCGACTTAGGTTGCAAAAAAGAGATTTCATACTATAACACAAACTATGCTTGTGTAAACAGGGTGTAATTGACGAATAAGCAAATCGAGGGTGCAGCAACTTGAAAAGCTGGAGTAATCTAAGAAAATATCGATATGAAATGAAATAATAATTGATGGGTAAATTGTGTACCAAGGCTTGTCGAAACACTAATTATGGCAAAAAAGACATTTTCTTCAAACTTCTGCACTAAAAGCTTGATGCAATTTTTAATTGTTCAGTAGCTTATAGCTTAAATACTTGATTCAAAACCATCAAATTCATGCAGTGCAACTCAATTTCTTGGTCGCGTCATTTCCTGGCAGCGTTGACTTTGGGTTATTGATTTGCATTGCATGATTTCGATAAATCTGCATTAGTTTTAAGTTTATGTAGCAAAAAAGAGCACGTCGTACGCCAATCAGAATCGAGAAAAGAAACTAATTGGTTCGTTTATTTTATCTCAATTCTGATTGGCTTACGACGAGTCTTATTCATTACATGTCTACTTTTTGACCGCACTCCCAGTTATATGTTTTTTTTATTAATAATTTAATGCGCACTTCAGTTCTATTATTTAAAACCATTTTTAGGCGAAGACACAAACTGCTACATGAAGACACTCAAAGCAACTAAAAGACTATATTCTCTCCCAAAAAGCCTCCCAAAATTCAAGCCGCCGGAACAAAAAATTGATTTGAACTTTTTCTCAACGAAACATTGCGCTTTTACTGTGATCAATTGCGTGATTAAATCTGGATTAGCAACTTCAAGTGAAGAAGAGTTCATTGTACGTTATTGGAACAACAATCACTGACTATTTTCTACCATCAACCCCGATGGATTAAATCATCAAGAAAACTTCAAAATCTCCGCTTTCAGTATCATCAATAAGACGTCAGACGAATCAACAACACGCATCAGATAATGCAAAATGCGCTCGATGAAAGTGCAATTTCAGTAGTATGCGATAGTCTTTTGCAGGAAAAGTCTACTTCCTGACTATGAGATACCTCTATAAAAGGGATACCTGGGATACCTAACTCAGGTGCTACACACACAAAGGAGCCCTACAAGTGGGGCGCATCAGTGAAAATGGGTTTTTAAAAAAATTAGAAGATTCAGCGACTTTAGCCTGCTTAACACACTTCATCCTGTCTCATTATTCCTCAAATACCAGCAACAATGAAAGTGCTTCTTATCTCAAATGATTTGAATCCAAAAACAGATACTGAAATGCAGAGGAGATTCGCGAAGGGAGATGCGCGACTCCACTAGTGTAATGAAGCAAACAGACAAACATATTTAATCAGAAAATTAAAGCCAAACAGCAATATGTTCCGAACCTAAGGGTATAAAAAAGACTCAAATTTCCTGTTGCTTTTTTGGTAAAGGGCAATTGATAGATCAAAATACAACAATGAGTTCAGTCTTCTACACAGAGGCGATGTGGAGCTTTGCATCACTTGCGATACAATTCAAGCGCAGCTATGCAAGCTAGCAAATAGCTGGTGAGACGGAAATCACAAAATCGAAAAAAAAATGAAAAAAAAAAATCCGAAAAACAGTCAAAACATAACCATCAGTATCAAATAAGCTTTTAGTTTTCACCAAGCAGCCACTAAGTAGACAAAATGACAAAAAGAGGACAGACGCTCAATGAGCCGGGAAAAAATGATATATTAAATTGTAGTCATAAAAATTTGACGATAAGTTTTAAAACTTTGATATCTTGCAGCACAAACTACCTGAATTTAAAAAAAAAAAATCATTCGTCCTTTGCCTTTGAAGCGACACAAAATAAAGTAACTGAGCCGATAGAACATAAGCCGAACACATTTAGGCCAAAAACGCTTCTAAGAGAAAAAAAGGAAAACCAAAAAATATATATACAACGTCAGAGCTATTAATTTTACAAATCACAGTAAATCATAAAAATTTGCATCTACTATGACAATTGCTGACAGCTCTAGAAAACTCCCCGATGTTACAACTAAGCCGGCATAAACAAGACATTTTCAATTTCATTCAAGCTGAAAAAAGGTCCGGTCGGGACTCAAATTCCAGACCTAGGGCACTAAGGCAACCACGTTACCTCTAAGCCAAATGGAAACAAGCATGGAAGTTGTTAAGGTTCAATAATAAAGCAATTAAGAAAAGCAAGTGAGATTTCTAAGAAAAGTTGTTTACGGGTAAAAGTCTAGTTCCCGATCACAAGACACTTGCTCTCGCAAGTGTAAACAAGTTATCATTCAGCCTGAGAAAAGGGAAATTCAAACCGGTGTTTTTGACTTTTTGAAACCCTATGGGCAACTATTAAAGCATTATTATACCACAATTTCTTTAGGTACCTATAATCCGGCAATATAATCTTATGTCAGAAAATCCACTCTAAAAGTCAACCATTTTCCTACCAATATAACCTGCCTTTTCAAAAAAGATGGTTGCAATTACATAGCTGGTCGCAAGGGTAAAAAATCAGTTTCTTTCAAGCTGTCAAGCAGATTTTGCCTAGATTTTCTGCTCGGAAGATCCCCCCCCCCTAAAAATGACTTATCTGCTGTCTTTAGCTAAAGTAACTGGATAAAAAATCTTAATTTCGAGCTATTCCAACAGCCAAAATATTTACAAAGTAGATACTCATATATAGTAGAAAGATAGAATTGATAGCAGATAAGAACATTCTCTCTGATCACTGAAGTCCATAACTATTTATCCTTTTTCGTGTCGCCGCCAGCAGCGGTGCTTTCGCTTTCAACTTCTTTCCCCACTGCTGTTACAGCTTTTTGCGGAGTACCTCGAGGTGGTTGTTGTCGTTTCGCAGGAAAAATAACTCCGCCTATTCCGACAAGTACGAGTCCCATGATAACTCCAACAACTATAGTTGCCACGACCATACCGACTATAATTAACCACATTGGTACAGAGTACTGGTCAGTTAGAATCTGGACAAGGAATCGCACTGACTCTCCGATTCCAGCCAACGCGCCAGCCACAGTCATAGGCACTGAGTTTGGCTTCAAGTACCACACAACTGGTTCAATTTGTTGCCACTGTTTCTCATTGACAAACTTCTCCAGATTGTCGATCCTTCTTTTCCCTGTGTACTTTCTAAACGATGTTCCTTCTTCATTTATATAGTACAAAGTTGGCAGCTGAGACACCAGAAAGCGAGCCGCCAATCCACTTTCAACAGTTATATCAGCTTTCGCTATTTTGACACCAAGTGAGTCAGACTGCTCGCTAAACTGTTGCCAAATTGGCTCAAAACTACGGCACGCACCGCACCACGGAGCGTAAAACTCAACAAACCAATCACCCTGTAAAACCGCAGTCCAATTACTATCCGTCAATACCTGCATCTCACCTGTACAATGATAACAACTACCGACAATTATAAAGACAATCATGAAAAGATGGTGATCATGCAAAACATGATGAAAACGTTCCATATTGCAAGAAAAATCCGAAGACTTTGCAAATTATACAAAAATAATTTCACTCTATTTCCTAGGCTATTCGTATCCTCGTATTCTGAAGGTGGCTTGATTTTCAAATTCAGAACGGCTCCCGAATTCAGTAACAAGGTAATAATTATCAATAAGTTGGATAGCATAAAGACGTATTACAGACTCTTAAGCAGTTTACATGAAATATCTGAAATAAAATTCTCTGATTTTCTGAAACGTATTAAGAATGACACTTAAATAAGTTAACCCAATTCGAGAAAATTGGATCAAAAGGTAATATTTTTATTTCTCTGGGAAATTCGACATTTAAATTCTACTTTCGATACTAGAAGCCGATCACGTTTTTCGTGAACTTTGCACTTTCGCTGTTCGATAGTGGAGTTCGGCTACCTTTTCACTACGGATATGAACTGCACTTAAAATAATCAACCACTCGACCCATTCCAAAAAGTAATTGTGGTACCTGATTTAGCGTGGAAAACAGAAAAAAACTAAAACACCCGAATACAAACATCCTCGCCATTTTCATTAGTCAGAACAACAATGTTCTGAATACGAGAACACTGGGTGAAATGAGAGGGTCAATTCGACGGTCCGTGCACAGGTTGGATATGCCCATACCAACGCTATATTAATAAATCGGCAAAATTTAATGAATAAATAAAAATAGTCAATTTTAAAGCATCCAGTGAATTCTCAATTAAAATCTACCCTCCTCGATTATATCATAAAATAATAAAGATAAAACCTATGGCAGACATATACAAAACAAACAACAAATGTGGGATGAATCATTGAGGATTGAAAAGAGAGGGGGAATGCGCTAACAGCAAAGGAACAAAGGAGCACCAGAATTGGGAATGCAAAAAACGTAATAAACTGCACAAGACTAGATGGCCCGGCTGACAATCATAGTGGCGTTTCCTCTCATGAGGCACACTGAGAGGCTCTGGAGAAGGCGAACTGGGGCAACGCGAGCGTCACGTGAACCAGAACGTCTGGCATCAGCGAGGATAGCAACTGACTTGAGGGTTTTGATAGCTAAAGCGGACCAACCCCCGAGCGTTTCGACTGCTAACGGGAAAAAACTGATTCCTTGTTCCTCACAGTTTTTCTCGTGTTTCGAAAATTTGCGGTCCTCAGCAACTTCCAGGGACGCCCCGGGGGTCTCCGCCGCACGAGAGAGAAGAGATAACTGCAGCGGGGATGTCACGGTGACGTCGAAAGCAGCTGGGCGACCAGCGCTCCAAGTAGGGATAATAATATCGCCGGGTTTGGACCGTTCTCCAGGGATGAGGTTCCGTTGCTCCTTGATGGGGGCTAAAGAGGCAGCCGAGGTAGCATTGAAAATAATGTCCCGTAGTCTGTCGTGACGGGAGATCCGGCCACCACTCCCCCCACAAGCGACAGCGTGGTCCCCGAGGACGTCCAGAATGCCAGACGGACACGCGGGGCACCTACGAGCAGACGCGAACACAGGAAGACCAAGGCGGTATCTGACAGCAGCTTGGAACTCAGCAGGTAGCAGGTGGAGGCCAAGACCTTTAATGGGGAGTGCGGTAAGCCAAGCGCCGGCGTAAGGCAGAGAGAGCGACTGAAGACGAGCTTGCTCGCGGGAATCGGGAAGAGACGAGAAGAACGCGTTGTAGGTGGCCTTATCGAGTTTCTCTTGGAAAGCTTCTTGAGTAAAACCGGGAGTGTTAACGCTTCCAGACTGTTCACAGAAGTCGTTCGAGGCACGCAGGAACTCCGGCGTATCAGTGATGTCGCATTCGGTAAGAAACGAGACCAAATGAGCTGACTGACACGAAGACCCTAGGAAGGCAGGGATGAGTTGGTCGCGAGCTTGCCGGACGCCAAGTCCGCCATCTTTGATAGGCAGGGAAGACTGGGACCAGGCAAGATCAGGAACAGGTGAGCCAACTATGACAGAAAGAGCATCGCGGAGGAGTTCATCAAAAACTTGCAGGGAAGCTGCGACAGGCTGAGAGGGCGGCTGAGTGCGAAGAGAGTACGTCAGCTTGGGAGCAGCAAGGCAAGTGCGAGTGATGCCAAGTGGGAGCTGGGGGTGATCAAGAAGAGGTAACTTTTCAAGACATTTGGTGGCCTTCGAGATGCGTTTGTCCAGGACTTTAACTGAGAACTCAGTATCACCAATGGGGGCGCCAAGAAGCTCGAAGCCATTAGACGCTGCTCTCGGGATAGAGACGGGGATGGAGGAGAACTCCACAGGGGCCCACAACTCACACTTACTGTGCTTGACTTTGAGGCCGAGATGCAAGCCGTTGGAAGTGATGAGTTCGAGAGCCTTGAGCAAGGAGTCTTCGTCGCCGGCACAAATCCCATCATCAAGGTACCAGCAGTTGAGGGTGAGACCAGGGACAATTCCATATATCATAAATGGAATTGTCTATGTTGGATGTATTTACAAGTTTTTTGCAACCCCTGAGGCGGAGGATTGCACTCCTGAAGAGCAAAATTTATTTTTGATATAGAGTTTACTATCTCCAAAAATCATACGTCCCGTTTTTCGCTTAGTTTCTCTGCTAGTTTCAGGACGGTTTTTGAAGAGCCTGGTGCTGTTCCTCCAAAACACGAAAAAATTAGTGGAACAAAGCTGATGTGTTCCACGTCCAGATTTCTTTGTTGGTATTTTAAAAATTTGACACACTCATGATATTTGTAGGCGTCAGATATAGTTTTTAGGGCTGCATTTAGCATGGGGTTTCAAAATGTTTACCTTCCCAGAGTTCATTTGCCTTGATGACAAGTCGAGCGTCATCTTCAATAGTGGATATTCTGCTGTGAAAGCTTAGGCCGATTGAAATTTCGGCTCTAGTTTACAATCGTGGCATACTTCGTCCAGGAGTGTCGCAAAGTGTCACGAGTTCCGTTATGTCTTAGGTGAGTGTATCCACTTCTGGCGCAGTGTGAAGAATGTGTCAGTGTGAACGGTTGTGCACATGTGCTTGTATGTGGAGTGTTTGGTAGTTCGAATCCATATCTTAGTGTAACATTCGCCCGGAAGATACATATCGACGGAGAATAAAACTAAGTCCTAAGACGACTGGCTAACGTCTAAACAGAGCTTTGCATGCTTTTCACCGTCTCTACCAAGCCAGTACTTTCGGTGGTCTTTCTAACATCGGGTCGACAAAAACGTTACTGCTTTCGGCTTCGGTCAAAACACTCAAATTAACTTAATTACATGCAGAAATAGTGAGCTCATGGCTGGGTCTCAGTATCCCCAGACCACGAGGTCACTCCTAAAAACAGGGCTACTACTACTTATTGAATTATTATTGTTTTTGTTCAGTAGATAAAAATCATCATCTCCATCGAAGATGGATCAACCCTTTCCCCCAACTCCTAGCTTCTCATCTTAGCAGAATGAATTCAGATGTTAATTAAATTCAATTCAGGACATGACAGGGAAGCTAAAAGTTCATATAAGATGATAAAAGTTTCAGTCCTGTGCCATTCTGCCAGATGACACAGCATAACCTTCCCGCGACAGAAAAAAAGAGTGACTAAAGGCCTTATGAACAAAAAAGTGTTGCGACGGAGGGTCAGAATGTTCTAGAATTTTTATTTTTAAAATTTCGATTGGAAGAAGAACATTTCTGAGAAATAGAAAAAAGACGGCCATTTTGAATAAAAAAGATGAAAAACAGAACCACGATAGAGATTGTGAAGAACAGTCGTGCAAGAAAATTACGAAGCCTCTTATCGTGGCAAAAACACACGATAAGGACCTTAGCGACAGATATTTGTGGAGACGGAGGCTTCAGTGGGGGGAAGAGAAATACCACGGAACCCTCCCGGGACACGAAATATAGGAGATAAGAGTGTTATCTCAAGAAAATCACGGGAGCGGAGGCTTGGTCCCCCAGAGACTGTTATATGTAAAGGGACTGTGAAAAACTGACTATAACAGCTGCTGTAATGTCCTAGATCTTAATTAAACACCGATATTATTTGATATTTCAGGACATGAGTAGATAGAAAAAGGAAAGGGTCAATCCATCTCCAATGGATTTAATGTAAAACTGTCACACAAAAACATGTTAAAATAGGTTGTTCGAGCCGTGTTTTTAATGACAACCACGTAGTCTGAGGATCCGAGACTCAGCTATGTGGTTGTGTTCGCATGCAAACGAAAGCTGATCAAAAGTCGTTTGACTGATGGCCTAAAAATGGTAACTTTTTACTTTGCCCTAAACAGACCAGAAAATCAACTGGCAAGGTCGAGACGGTGAAAAACGAGTAGCATTAAGGTAACTGACGCCTGCCAGTCGTTAATAGGTACTTTTTCTACGCTCCGTCGCTGTGTGATATTTGGGCGAATGTTACATAGACGTTTTTATGGCGCTCCTGGGTGGGCCTGTTAAAGGCATGAAACCATCATGATCAGCAAGCGTTTCAGTGACGAACCCTCCGCTCCGGGCGTATGCCCGAGTTAGAGGTCTTAATGACCGTTGTTGTACTAGGGGGAAGGTGCGTACCCTCCATCTAGTGCAATTTAGCTTTTTAACTTAGTTAACACCGAAAATTCCGGGGGCCGGAGGGTTAGGTGGGAAGTCATGAACCCGCTTGTCCCGAGGTCCCCGGACCAAAAACAACTAAAGAGAAAGCGTAAAACCAAACAAAAATAGTGTATAACCAAGAAAAAGCCAAAAATAAATTTATTTAAAAACAAAAAAGTACAAAAAACAGTAAAAAAGTCCAAAAAAGACCAAAAACAGTAAAAAACATAAAGTGACAGTTTATATGTTATTTCCGGACGAGATGTGATCTGACCTTCCTATTTGTTGTTGTTTCAGATTGATTTATATCGTTTCTGATAGAAAGATTGTGTGTTTTGGTGAAGGGTTGGATACCCTCCCTCGAGTGTAATTTGAGTGTTTAAGCACGTTAATGGTAATTTTGCCGGTGGCCGGAGGGTAGAGTGGCAAGCTGATCAACGTGTTCCACACTCAACAGGGACATCAAGGACAACATCCGCAACGACTGTTGGGTATCGTTGAAGCAATTTTAGTATCGTTCGGGTACTATTTCATTAAAACTTAAGTGGTGGGGGGCACGATTGG